TAATGACTTAAGCACTTAAGCCTAAACTCCAGATCCAATGACCATATGTGCCTAAGATTCATAAAGTCTCGAACATTATCACTTTGGACGTCCAGGAAGCTCTTAATCCATTAAGACCCTTCTACATCATGCATGGGACATCTTAAGCCATTGGGTCCTCATTTTTATCACTTGAGACCTCTTTAAGGTCCAGAAAGGACAGTTTATCTCATCCAAAATGCATCATGCACCATATTGGGGTTTTGGGACATGAAATGGTTCCATAATGCTAGAAAGGCTAGATCTATGACCTACAAGCACACAATTTGAAGCTTTTTTTTTACCTTCTGGAGCTTCTAGAGTACACCACAACCTCAGATCTACAAGCCAATCCCCTTCTTCAACTATTTGCTGTAATGGCTTCACCTTCAAGAGCTCAAAATACTCACCAAATCACTCTCACCCATAAGAACTAGGGCTTGGGGATGTTTCTGGAAGATGGAGGCTGAGAAGGAGGAGAGAAAATGAGCCATGAGGATGTTTATATAGCCCCCAACCTGGGATATTAGGATTTTCATCCTTTTTTAGTACGCCCATCGTACACAAGTGTACGACCAGTGTACTAGGGAGTTCCCTAGTACGCCTTGCATACCCTTATGTATGCGCAACGTACTCCTCCTGGTCTTATAATTACAAGTTAGCCCTTAGGCTCTTCATGGCTTTACCCTTCCATCCCTAGGGACTACAATTAACAAAACTTGGGATGTTACATCTGGTGCTTTTGAGGCGAGAATGGCTTTATGCTAAGTTCTCGAAGTACGAGTTTTCATTATGAGAGGTTCAATTCCTTGGACACCTCGTTAACCAAGATGGATTTTGGTCGAACCGGCCAAAATCGAGATGGTGATGCAGTAGGAGATTCCGAAATCTACCTCGGATATCAAGAGTTTTTTTTGGGTTTGGCAAGCTACTACTGGAGATTTATTCGGGATTTCTCCAAGATTGCAGTACCTCTCACTCGTCTGACAAGGAAGGGGATGGAATTCTGGTGAGACCTTGAGCACCAGTCAACATTTGAGACCCTTTGGCAAAGACTAGGGATGAGCATCGGAACCGGGTACACGCTTTTGGAACTAGCACCGCTTCGGAACTGCCGGTTCTGGAACTAGAACCGCCTTATGTGGTTCCGGTTCCTAAAGTTATGGAACCGCCATAAGCAGATCCGGTTCTGGTTCTCATTTTTTTGGAACCTCTACCTGCTGGGTACCCGCCGGAACCGGTTTATATATATATATATATATATATATATATATATATATATATATATATATATATATATATATATATATATATATATATATATATATATTAGTATTTCATATAAATATGTGTGTGTTACTTAGACCGGTTTAGAAAATATGGGTCTGATTTTGTTTGTTTTTGGTCCAAATTGATTTGATTTAGATTGAACTAAATTGCGATTTTATCGACAAAAGTAATCAAAATTAATATAACTGAGTTTCCCGCTCCCAGAACTGAAACCGTCGGTTTCGATACCGGTTCCAAACATTTAAGAATTGCCTATAGCGGTTCCGATTCTTATTATAACTTTCTAAGAACCGCTAGTTCCGGTTCCAATTCCAGTTCCAGATCTTGCCAAATGAGGCAGGTACCCGCCTTGCTCATCCCTAGCATAGATTTTGCTAGGCCCTAGTCTTGACCCGTCCAGAGGGAATTGAGTATTTTGTGGTTTTATGTAATGCGTCCATTACCAGCTTGGGAGCAGTCCCCATGTAGAGAGGACAAGTGATAGCTTATGCTTCGCGGCAACTGAAGCCGCATGAGACGAGATACCCCATGCATGATCTTGAGTTGGGAGCTGCGGTTTTCGTTCTCAAGATTTGGAAGCATTATCTTTTTGGGGTCCGATGTACTATCTACACGGATCATAATCGTTTGAGACATGTTATGGATTAGCCGAACCTGAACATGATGCAACACAGGTGGCTGGACGTGGCCAATGATTATGACTACGAGATCCTTTACCATCCTGATAAAGCGAATGTGGTGGCGGATTCCCTAAGCCGCATGTTGGCTGCACCTTCTGTTGAGGTGGCATGTATGAGGATATCTATGGATTCTTTGCTTGTGGGTTTGATTATGGATGCTCAGTTTCAGGGTGTTCGAGAATAGAATTGGAAGATTGAGAGGATCAGGGGTAAGATCACCATTTTTGTTCCGGATAGCTGGGTTTTTTTTTGACCTGTTGAGGTCGAGTGTGGGTTCCTTTGTCTGGTGGGGTCACACAGGTTGTGTTGGAGGAGGCTCATAAGTCTCACTTTTATATCCATCTGGGGGCCACCAAGATGTATCGGGATCTGAGACTAAGTTATTGGTGGTCGTGCTTGAATAGGGAGATCGCTAGGTATGTTGAGAGGCGCTTGACCTGCAGGATGATCAAGGTCGAGCATCAGAGGCTGCATGACAAGTTGCAAACACTGGAGGTTCGCATGTAGAAATGGGAGCAGATTTCGATGGAGTGCTCCAAACTCATAAAGGTCCAATATTGGGGAAAAAGTTCATAAAACTTCAACTATGTAGACATAATGTAAAACTTATCAAGGTATAAACTTTATAACAAAAAATGATGCACCAAGAGAAAAGGTTCTTGGATCTATTAGCTTGCAAGCACTCTCTCCTTCTTCTCCTGACTCCTTCAACAAAATGCACCCACAACACTCAATAAGCTCACAAAACTCACACAAACAACTCAAACTCAAAATTAGGGTTTGGGGAGAGAATGGTGGCTAATAAGGATGATCAAATGGGGATATAATGCTGTTTAAATAGGGAACAACCATTAATATTAGGGTTTGAAGTCTGGGCTCATACGCTTGGCGTATCATACATACATCCAACGTACTAGCTGGTCAATTCTATGTTGCATGAGTACGTTGCACATACTCTTAAGTGCGTCGCACGTACTCTTAAGTACACCCTACGTACGTCCATAATGCAAGCCTTTTTCCTCAAGGGACCAATTGTGCTACTTTTGATAAAGATAAAAGCAATTATAAATATACCTGATATTCGAATGTTACAATCCACACAATAGATAGTTATAACAAATGAACCTCTCTTTCTCTCTCTCTGTTTCTCTCTCTCTCTCTCTCTCTCTCTATATATATATATATATATATATATATATATATATATATATATATATATATATATATATAAATATAAATATAATTTACTTTTATTTATTCTAAAAAATTTACAATATTTAACCGACATGGTTACATATTTGATAACTAAGCCTAGTACGAAACACGGACGTTACACGAGACAATGCATATAACAATTTAGCATCAGTATGTTCTTCGTCGGTTGAAGATTAACCATACGAATTTTCTTTCATTACTACTTTTCAAACGTTTTGATTCATTTTTGTTGAAATGTTTTGAATGGAATGGAATTGTAGAGAAAAAGAAAGGAACTAAAGAAGATTGGAATGGTATTGAAGAAGGTGTGAATGTTTAAAGAAGGCGAATGTTGTTATTTATAATTAGACTTGACAATGGTTCGACCTGAATTGGGTTCGGGTTCAACCTATTTATTAATTGGGTTGAATATTTCAACCCAACCCAACCTGTTTATTTAAGTGGGTTGATATTTACAGCACAACCCAACCTTTCAAATAAATGAGTTGTCACCATGTTGACATGTTTATGTATTTCTCAATCCACCAATTAAATAAATGGGTTAAAATTGGTTAATCTGTTTAAAAAAAAAAGTAGATAAATTAACTAAAGATTACATTATTTAAATTAGTTGCAAATTTAAATAAAATTTCACAAGTATGACAAAAACACAGTTTCAATTCACAAATACAAATAAATGTTCAAATAACATTAAACATATTTAATTTCGAAGTGATTTTAGAGAGTGGTTAGTATTATCTGAGCCAAGCAAAATGACAAGAATTAGGATTGCATTTTTTTAAAAAAAAACATGAATAATAATTAAGGTTCTACATAACGTAAGGTGTGACTTGGCGGCGATGTTAAACCTCAAGTTTTTTTTAAGTCGTGTCGAGCTATGTCGTTTATAAAGTGTAACTTAAGGCGACAATTTTGTATATAATTAATAATTTTTATACATTTTCTATTATTATTCATTTTTATATACATATGTGACTTAAATCGGTATTTTGTCAAAGTTTGACGGCAAATACAAGTCTTAGAGTCCTTATGATCTTTTTAGAACATCGATAATAACAAAACATTATAATTTATAAATTAATATTTTAATTAATACATTATAATATTCAAATAAGTATTAAATTAAATATATATTAAAGTTAAATGAGTTGGTAAGTTGCAAACGGATTGATAATTTATCAAAATCAACCTATTTAATTAAATGGGTTAAAATGGATTGACTCATTTAACTTAAATATATTGAAAATCTCAACCCACCTGCTAATAGTGGCACCGGCAACCTCTAATGTCTGTGCTACACAGTACAAAAAATTTCGATTTTTTTGTTTTTTCTACTAATGTCCAACTACTTAAAAAAAAATGTATCACTAGGTAAATAAAATATGTCGTCAATAACACCTCCTATGAAATTTTACGTCCGTCTCTTTGAAGAACCCGCCAAATACACAATCAGTGGTACCAACGGCAGGACCGGTCCTACCTATCCTCTTCGATCCGCCATCGAGAACCTCCACCCTAAGGCTCCATTTATTATCTAGGACACGAAAAATGACCGTTTTGTATTGTGTTTCTATGCAATAGACTTGTGACATGTATCAATGTTAGTGAAGCTAATTTTGTCCCTTTAAAAGATGCAGAACCATGTCAAACACGTAGTTAGATAGATAGCGGTGTTAATACGACAGAAATACAACCCCTTTGCCATTTCAAAATGGTGAAACAATGTGGCTTTTAAATCAATTTCAATTCCAAAAAAAAAAACAAAAAACAAAATTCGCTAGCTATTGCTATATACACCAAATAACTCGATGCCAACTTCATGCATATCAAGGCCCTGCGAAGAATGAATTACCAGTTTCTCCATCTAAATTAGGGCCAGGAATCAGGATACAATCCACTTCCAACATACAACAAGCAATCTATAGTTTTTCAAAGAATGAATCAACAACACACAAGTTTACTACATATTTACACAACAATCGATGCAAGATTACCAAACCCATATTTGCAGGTGAAATCAATGGGTTGAATTGTGCATTTGTGTTCTCGCTTTTTGAGTTGAGTTGTTGTGCATTTGTGTTCTCTCTTTCAAAATCGTCAAACCCATATACCTGCATATTCAGCACAACAATCGTCACACAAATTCAACGCAAACAAACCTTGAAGCTCGCTAAAAGAGAAATTACTCAAATTACCTGCCAAGCATCAACAAAGTAGCCTGTGGATTGGTCCCCGGCGAGACTGTAAAAGTGGAGCCATCCACCACACGAAGAGAATGAACGCCGGCGACCCTCAAATTGTGATCCACCACTCTTCCGACGACGCATCCGCCGTGGTAATGCCATATTGTGCTCACAGTCCGGCGACAGAAGTCACGCATCAGAATGTTACTCGATTGGTCAATCGGCAATGCAGGACCCACGAATCTGAAATCCGTACCGGACCATTCCCAGAACTTGAAATCATCCATGGCTCGGCTTCTAAGCAAGGCTCCGATCTTTCGAGTTCCGTTCACACATCTTTCTAGATCCACCGGATTACTGAAGTAGTTAAATCGCACAATAGGGTTGGTTCTCACGTCTGTGGACGCCAATCGAAGTGTCCCAGAAGAGTGTGGTCCGATAATCTTCTCCATGATGCTAGCAACAGTAAGATACAAGGGAGAAGAAGTCGGCCGGAGGAAAACGGAATATGCGGGTGAAGAAAAAAGGTAGAACATTGGAGGCTGCTTCAACATAAGCACCCGAATCGGTGATGCCCACCACCTGTATGAGAGATTGCTCCAGTGGAACCGGCGACACAATCGATATTCCGTTGCGAGGATTATCATACATATAATTTCCGACGTATGGAGAATGACGTACGACGGGTATCCCCCAAGAAGAAAGATAAGGGCGTGGGCCAATTCCGCTCAGGAGAAGCAGCTGCGGGCTGCCAATGGCGCCGGTGCAGAGAATGACCTCTCCATTATTCCGTAACATTGCATGATGATAGCCGCCGATTAGATCATGAAACACAACTCCGATAGCATTCTGTCTGGACAACAAAGAATATGAAGGAGCGAACAAAACCCTCTCCACGGTGGCATAGATCGCCACCTTGATATTGGATGAATTAGCCATGTTTAAAAGATCAGCGGCGCTGTGTCGATGGCCGGAGCTGTCAAACGTCGAGCCACCAATCTTGGTACCCAAAGTGTGATTTAAAGTATAACCATTATAAGGTTCGATGCCGGATTCAATTAATCCGTCACGGATGGCTGTTTGCCATGTCTGTAACTGCGGATGGAACACGATAGCTTTCTCAACCCATTCGTAAGATCGCTGCACCACATGCGTATCCCAATTGATCCCGGATCTTTTGTAGAAATCTTCATCTGCTCGGCTATAAAATCCGGCATTAATGGCGCTGCTGCCGCCAAGAACGCGGCCACGGGCGTTGGGGACGCCGTCCTCGGAAGTGAACGCCTGAGCAGGGGAGTCAAATTGATCAAAGTTAGTGAGTGTAGGGAGGAAACCCTCACGAGTCATGAGGTTAGCGTTCGCGAAAGGAAGACCGCCTCTTTCAAGAAGAAGAACACGGTAGGTTTTTGATAACGTCGCTGCCAGTGGGCAACCGGCGGTGCCGCCGCCGACTATTATGTAGTCGTATGTATCCTCCAGAGGAAGCTGCGTTGCATTAACTAAGAACTTCATATAATCTGGACCTGATATTCAAAGCAAGGATTCAAAAAGTTAGATTAATTCAAAATGATTGCAGAAAGATCTTGAAAACAATTGCAAATCTGTAGTTACTTTGTTGGTTGGATTGGGCTAGCGCGATACTTATTAGACCGACTAGATTGATAAGAACGGTTAGTGGGGGAATTAGGGTTCTGATTGACGTCATTTTTTGGAGGCTATGAGGTTTTCATGGGGGTTCTTGAAAGAGAATGGAAACTCATGACAATGGTTTCGTGAAATTGAGAATAAATCGAATTAAATTGATCATCAAAATGTCTGTGACCTTCTTCAAAGGGATTTGCAGAGCAGGAAGAAGATGTTGGAATCAGAGAAGACGGAGAGGAGAGGAGGAAGAGCAGGTTTTGAATCGGAGAAGACGGGCAGTAAAACTTGTTTGGTAATTGGTGGGAAATCTACACGTTACTAATGCCGTTAATTTTGTGTGTTTATTTGTTTTAATGAAACGGTTGGTGACGCCGTTAATTATTCTTTTTCACTTCACTACGAGCAATACCACTAACCTTTTTTCTTTAATATTTTCGGCCAAAAAAAAATACATAAATAATTTGTTAGAAGTACAATATCTGCCTCACTGCTTGCAATCTTGGATTGTGCATGTATCTTCGTGTGTTTTTAGCTCTACTTTAATTGCCAAGAAATTAAGTTAAACATTCACCCTTTTAAGGAGGGATAATGACTTAAAAGGGTAATCTATTTTTAGATTTTTATATATTTGGGTACTGAGTTTTTTTTTCGTTTACATTTACCCTTTTAGCTTGTTAAAATGTACACATTCAATCCTTATGATCGGTTATTTTAGGTTAGCTGGAAAAAAATGACTTAATAGGGTAATATATTTTTCATTTTGTACACATTTAGTCATTAATATTTTTGTACATATTTAGTCCTTAACATTTTTTTTCAAAACAAGTCATTTTTTGTACTTATGAATGATATATTTAGGTTTTTCTCACGACATCTTATGTGAGACAAAACTTAATAAGCTGTTTGGGGTTGTTGATGCTTATGTCCAACGTGAATTCGACTTATTGGTTACGTAGGTCTTGTGGTTTGGCTTAGGTCTTGTATTTTGAATGTCGTAACTTCTTTATACGACATCGAATTATTTTAACAATCTTTATATCCATGTCTTCATTTTTTCTTTAAGATTACTCCAGCTAAAATGTAATATATTTTTATTTACGATTTTATAAAAAACAATCCATACATTCATTTATAAAAAAATGTATGGACAGGGGAAGATGCAAGAATACATAGTAGGTGCTACCAAGATAAAATAGACATTGCAAAGACATGAAAAATAGGTATAAACGGAAAAAAAAAATCAAATTATTTCCACTGTGAATAGAAAAAACAGGTGTTGGCGGTGCAACACTGGGACCCGGCTAAATCCGCCCCTGCGTATGGATATAAAAATCGTAAGTAAAAATATTTTTTTAATGGAGTAATCTAAATGAAAGTTGTAGCAGACTAAAATACGAACACATGGATATAAAGATCGTTAAAATCCGAGATCGTATGAAAAAGTTATGACGTTTAGAACACATGACCTAAGCAACTAAGTAGGCGAGATCGTGATGGACATAAGAATCAAAAGGCTCAAACACCTCATTAATGAATGTCCAACATAAGATTTCGTGAGAAAAACCTAAAGAAATCATTCATAAGTATTGAACGATTCGAAAAACAAAAATGACTTATTTTACAATATATATATATATATATATATATATATATATATATATATATATATATATATATATATATATATATATATATATATATATATATATATATGGACTAAATGTGTACAAAGTGAGAAATATATTATCCTATTAAGTCATTTTTACCAGCTAACCTAGATTAGCCGGTTATACGGATTGAATGTGTACAGTTTAACAAGTTGAAGGGTAAATGTAGAAGAAAAAAAACTCAATGACCAAATGTGTACAAATCGAAAAATACATTACCCTTTTAAGTCAGTATCTCGTTTAATAATGCATAGTCAGACCCGACCTAGACGGTAGGCAAAACGGTCACAAAATTCCTAGGGCACCTAGATATGAATACAAATGATCTCCTTGCTGATAACCTAGAAGTAGACAACTTGAAGGCACAGCCAAAAAGTGCTCTTATAGCTGGTAAGAAAAAGTTGGTGTTCAAGATGAAAGAAAACATGTATGGCATGAAGCAAACTTCTAATCAGTAGTACTTAAAGTTTGATAACTTCCTGAAGAGGAGCGGGTTCAGGAGATGTGAGGTTGATCACAGTTGTTACCTGTAAGTTAAGTTCCTCCTGTATGATCCTCGTGTTAACTATTGATGGTGTGTTGTTGTTGGTTCAAACACGTAAAAGATCAGTGAGCTTAAGATACGGCTGACTAGAGAGTTCAAGACTATGAACCAATGGGCTACTAAGCTGAAGAAAGTCCTTAATATGGAGAACTCAGCAGATAAATGTATTAAGGTGTTTACCACTAAAAAGTTGAAGCTAGGTACGCCTTCAGTTTCCCTTCCAAGATTTTGAGGATGGGGGTTGGCATAGAGAGAGAGAGAGAAAGAAATAAATAAAGAGAAAGAGAGAGATTAAGAAGAATGATGAAGACTTTGAATAACAGCTGAAACTGTTCAAGCCTTCAAGTAGGAGATTGTTGGGGTATAAAGTATTGTCCAACATGGAGCACTTGGAACTCGTGGAGCATGTGATAAAGGAATGGATCATATGAGAAGGGAATGGATCTCCTGACAAAGGAATGGATCTCATGACAAAGGAATAAATATTCTAAAAGGGGTATGGATCAACTAGAAGTGGAATGGAGCATCTTGGTGCATGGATGCACCATCTATGATCAAGGTGACATCCTATGTTTGGATGCACCATTTTGGAATCAGGATATGCCACGAAGTGACTTAATATACCACCAAGTGATAGGATATGCCACGAAGTTACATGATATGCCACAAAGTGAAAAGATATGCCATTTAAGAGGTGGATGCATCATTTAAGAGGTGGATGCACCATTCAAGAGGAGGATGCACCATTATGGAGCATGATGTGCCACCAAGGTTCTGGTGTGCCATCATTGCTCCTGATGTACCACTCAGATGTCAAGTTCACTAGGATGCTGAAGATTATCCAAATGTTACTCAGAAGAATGAAGTTGCTCATAGAGCATGTTCCACATGGCTGATGTAACATCTTGATAGAAAATACACCATCATGATGCGCATTATGATACATGATGCATGAATTATGATACATGATGCACCATCACGTGTTTTTGTTGATGCTCATGAGGTTGAAGATTCTAAAAGTGCACACATGGCATTCCGTGATTGGTTGGAAATTAGGGTGTCCCATTATAGGCTAATTATGGATTGGCATGGTCCATCATAATTAGGGTTTCCCATGCTTGCCTATAAATAGGTCCATATCTCTATCATTTTTAGTGGCACATAAAATTCAAGTGAGCAATCATTTTAAGGTTAAGAGCACATCCTTTGGAGCAGTTAGTAAGCAAAAGAGATTCTTTTGTGTTGAGAGGTCAAGCGGGGTGTAACCTTTGTGTTTGATTGTAATTTTTCTTGGAAGTTAATAAAATCCTCTCTCTCTTTCTCGTTCACTTGTGGATGTAGGTCACCTTGACCGAACCACGTTAAATATTGTGTTTCACTTGATTTGCATTTTTTCAGAAGTTTTATTTCCGCAAGTTCACCGAAGTTTGTTTTGATATTTTTCTAAAGTGTTTAACTTCTTTTGTTGTCATCCCAACAAAAATACCTCAAAGGCTAGTTTCATCTAAGTCGCCTAATCATATAATACAACATATTCCTTGTGTCATCTCAAACTAATTGCATTTCTTCAAGTGGCATCCAATAATTCAAGTTGTTGAGTCTACTCATCTTGAATCATCCGATCCATGACATTATATCACAACAATCAGAGATATTTGTTGTCATGTAAGAATTAACCACGAGACAAGGGCGACACATGCAGGACAAAAGCCTCAAAAAAAGCACATCCCAGAAAAGATACAAGGTGCAACGTACAGATACCTGCTATAAGCAAATAGGAAAAGGTAGTAGGCAATCAACTGTCTTTACTCGGGCCACAAAAGAAATTGAGCAAAGCTTGTACTACTCTTCCCAGTGAAGCCTATAAAAGCAAGCTTCACACAAGGAAAGTGTAACAACCCGTTATTTCAAGTCAATGTAAATCAAACTTGTTCATATAAAAGTCTAAATTACAATCGTATACAAGTGAATTCACATCCTAACAATGATACAATAAGAACTTTGAATGCCATAAGGGCATGTTTATATAATAACTGTATGAGCATACTTTGATAATCAAACTTATATAAGTTATATCTACATATATATTGAAAACCATGCATATATAAGTTAAATGCAAGTCAACATAAGTCAAGGAAGTAAGTTAAAAAGCAATCAATATACTTTATCATGTTGATTTCGATTTTAGGAATCTAGGAAAAAATGTGATTTTGGTTTTAAACATCTAGAAACAATAGGTTTTCGATTTTGAGCATCTCGGACCACTTTATGTTTTTGGTTTGGTACCCTCCACTAAGGCCAAAATCTTTCATTTGTGGGACAACCAAGGTGATTTCGGTTATGCTAGGACCGAAATCAACCTTATCTTGTCCGAAATCACCCATAATATATAGATATTTTACATATTTAACTTCCTAGTGTGATATGATCCATTTACCAACGTAAACATCACCTCAACCGCCTATCTTTTCCTTCCTATGTAAAATACAAAATGAGATTCATTTAACACTTCCAGCAAACACTTTTCACCTTATATGCTCTCAAATATCAAAGCACTTACCCAGTTAATCTTCAAACCTTCAAATTTCATTCAAGAACACATCGCATCTGCATCCAAAATTTCCAGAAAACTTGTAAGTTACTATGAATTAGTTTAGTCTTTTAAAACATTTAACATATAAATTCAACCAATTCATACATAATATTATGTGTTAAATATTATTAGGCTATGTTTATTAACACGTGGTCTAACCTAAGAATCATCAATACCACATCGTAACCAACCAAGAACACACACTCGAGGTGAGTTCATACCCCTACATTTTCATGATTTTTCATTGTTTTAGGGGGGAATACAAGTAAAACACAAGAAATCTTGTGTTGATATCTAAAAGAATAAGCATGTTTCATGAATGAAATTTGTATAGCAAAACCCAAAAGATATGACTCTAAGTTGGTGAGTGCATAAGCATATTCTTCATAGAGTCATATCTTTTAGGTTTTGCTATACATTTTGGTGTCAAGTATACATTGATTTGAACACAGATGTAAAAGCTATACATTTTCAATATCATGGTTA